CGTCGCCGCCAGCCGGCGCTCTCCCTCCCTCCGCACCTCTGACCAGATGGCCCTCCTCCCCCTCTCTCCCGCCAGGCGGCGCTCTCCCGCGCGGCATGCGGCGCCAGCCTCGAGGAGGCGTCGGCTCTGCTGCCCGACGTGCCGGCCTTCCTCGCCGAGCTCTCCTCCGAGCAAGCCGCCGCCGCCGCCGCCGCCGCAGACGCAGACGCGCCGCCCGTGGGCGGCGCCAGCGCGCGCCGGCGCATCAGGGCCGAGGCCGAGCGGCTGCTGGCCGCTGGCGCGGCGCCCCCCCTCGCTGCTGCCGCCCTCTCGCGCCCCTCCTCGCCGCCGCTCGGCGCGCCGGCGGCCGACGCGGCCGCCGGCGGCGAGGGCGGCGGCGCGTTCGGCCGCCGCGCCGATGTCAGCGAGCGGCGGCGGCGCCACTTGCTCGAGCTGCAGCTGCTCTCGCGCAGCGAGTGCGAGGGGGCGGGGTGCGGCGGCGAGGGCGGGTGGGCGGGCGAGGGCGGCGGCGAGTGCAGCGGCTGGGAGCCGAGGCAGGGGCCGGGGCCGGAGACCAACCGCCTAGCGGGGGTCGGAGGCGGGGCTGCCGCGTGGATGGGGGGGGTGCCGGCCAGCGCGCCGTTTTGCTGCGAGCGGCACCAGGTGCAGGGCCTCATCTTCAACGAATTCACTAGCTGATTCATTGACTCGAATTCATTGACTGCCGCCAGGCGGTGACGCCGACCCTCGACTGCTACGACGCGCGCGAGGAGGGGGAGGCCGCGCTGCCGGCGGGCCTCGACTGCGCGTGCCTCTGCGCGTCGCTGCAGGGCGAGGCGTGCACGCTCGCGGTGTGGGTGATGGACGAGCGCGCGCCAGCGGAGGCCGCGCTGCGCGCGCTGCGGCGGCGCGCGCGGCTGTGCGGCTCCGGCGTGGCACCCTTGCAGCATGTGTGGCTGCAGGCCGTGTCGGAGGACGCGGCGGCGTGGCTGGACGACGCCGGCGTGTCGGGCTGCGGCGAGTGGCTGCTGTGCGCCCACCTGTCGGCCGACCTCGAGCCGGCGGAGGGCGCGCAGAGGCGCGGCGGCGAGGCGCCGCTGCGCGCGCGTGCCGCCTCTCCCTCCCTCCCCCTCCCTCCCGCGTCGACCTCGCCCGCCCGTCTCCCGCCCAGGCGCTGCGCGCGTGCCGCCTCTCCCTCGTTCGCGGGCTCGCCTCCCTCCACGCGGCTGGCCTCTCTTGCGGCGGCGCACTCTCCCTCGCCGACGTCTCCTTCCCGCTGCGGCAGCACACGCCCCACCCGGCGGCGAGCGCCGCCACCCTCTTCCACGGCCCTCTGCGGCCGTCTGCGGCCGCACCGGCCGCGGGCGAGCCGCCCTCCCCTACCCCGCGGTACCCGAACCCGCCCTCCCCTACCCCGCGGTACCCGAACCCACCGGCCGCGGGCGAGCCGGCCTGCGCGGCGCTGCTCTGCCTCCGCGCGGCGCCCGCGGCCGAGGGCGGCTTCGCGGCGGACGTGGCGGCCCTCGCGCCGGTGCTGGCCAGCCTTGGCTCCGGCGAGGGCGGCGGCGCGGGCGGCGACGAGGGCATCGCCGCGCTGTGCGGCGCGATGGCGCACGCGCAGCCGCTCTGTCGGCCCGCGGCGGCAGCGCTCGCCTGCCACCCCTACTTCACGGAGGGCGCGGCGACGGCGCTCGGCGACGCGGCGGAGGAGGCGAGCGACAACGACTCCGACTCCGACTCCACGTCGTCTCGCCACTCCGCGCCGCCGCCGCCACCCGACCCGACCAGCGCGCAGGCAGCGGCTGTCTGGGCGGCGGCGTGGGCGGCGCGGCTCGAGGCGGCGGAGGCGCTGCCGCCGCTCGTCGTGCGTCTCTCGGCTGCCGACGCGGCGTTCGCCGAGCAGGCTGCGTGCGGCGCGAGTGGCGGGCTCGCCCCGGCGGCAGGCGGGGCCGGGAGGGGCGCAGCGTGGTCCTCCGCCGGCCACGGTACCCGAACCCACCCTCCCCTACCCCACGGTACCCGAACCCACCCTCCCCTACCCCCACGGTACCCGAACCCACCCTCCCCTACCCCACGGTACCCAAACCCACCCTCCCCTACCCCACGGTACCCGAACCCACCCTCCCCTCCCCCACGGCACCCGAACCCACCCTCCCCTACCCCGCGGTACCCGAACCCACGCGTCCGCCGGCGACGGGGCAGGGGTGCACGACGGGGTGGAGGAGGTATCGTGGGAGGAGGAGGCTGCGGGCGGGCTCGTCGAGCGGCTCCTCGCGCTGCCCGAGCAGCTGGCCGCCGGCCTCCCCTCCCCCGCCCTCCGGCTCGCCGCCTTCCGACCGCTCGTATTCGTGGCCGAGTCGAGGCGGGGCGGCACGCCGCGCCGCGCGCTCAGCCTCGGCGCGCTGCCGAGATCACCCGAGATTGCGCGAGATTGCGCGAGAGTGCGCGAGAGTGCGCGAGATTGCGCGAGATTACCCTCAGCCTCGGCGTTCCGCCGCGTGCCGCGTCTCGGGTTTATCTGGGGCGGTCTCGGCTCATCTCGGCTATCTGGGGCGGCTCATCTCGGCGGCGGGCGAGTCTAGACTGAGGGTAATCTCGGGCAATCTCGCGTAATCTCGGGTAATCTCGGCTCATCTCGGCGGCGGGCGAGTCTAGGTGCGCTGCTCGCCGCCTTTTGGCGGCTCGCCTTGCACGAGCGCGCGAGCGTCGCGGGCGACGTGGCGTCGGGCGACGCGGTGCCGGCCGACAGCGGCGCGGCGCGCGGTTTGCCTCCGCTCCTGCAGCTGCCCCCGCCTCGCGAGCCGCTCGAGCCGGTGGCGTGGCAGCCGCCGCCGACTCCGCTGCCGCCGGTGGACGTGGTTGATCCGCCGTCCGACGCGGCGTCCGACGCGGCGTCCGAGGCGGCGTCCGAGGCGGCGCGGCGGAGCGAGGCGGCGCAGGCGCGGCTGGGCGCGTTGCTGCTGCTCTCTCTGGCGCACGGCGTCCCGCTCCCGCCCTGGCTCGCCACGCCGCCGGTCTGCCGCTCGCTGCTCGGGCGAGGGGCGGCCGTCGCGGACGGCGGACACGCCCCGTGACGCGTCCGTGACACGTCCCCGCCCCTCTCCCCCACAGGCGGGGCTCGACAGTCGGCCTCTCGGACGCGGCCGCCGCGCGGCCGCAGCTCGCCACGCGCTTCGCCCTCGTCCTGGCCTCCATCGGCGATGAGACCGACTGGCCGGACTCCGAGGCGCCGCCGCCGCCGCCGCCCGCCGCGAGGCTGCGGCTGCTGCAGGAGCCCGCTGACGCTGTGAGCTCCGTGAGCTCCGCGTTCGGCGCGTTGCAGCTGGACGAGGCGGCCGCGGCGGACGCCGCGGCGGGCGGGGAGGCGGGGTGCACGCCCGGGGGGGTCTGCTCCGAGTCTGCGGCGCCGTGCGACGAGGGGGCGGCGGCGGAGGAGGAGGGAGGGGCGGCGGGGCAGCCCGACCGGTTCGCGCCGTCGCCAAAGCTGCGCGCCTCCCTCCGTGCGCTCGAGTGGCGGCTGCACGGATGCCGCGCCCGCTCCTGTGCGCGCCACACACACACACCCCTCCGCCGGGGCCCTCCCCTCGCGCACCCGCGCAACCCCCCCCCCCCCCCAGACTCCCTGTTGATATGCG